GTGGGTTATGTACTTTTTGGGTGACATTTGAATTGAGAATTTTCAAACATGTGGTTATTTTGGTGGGGAACAAGGTGAGTCACACAAAGTGAGTGTTGATATCACTTTTTCAAAGTGGAGGGCCCAGCAGGGGTGGAGCCAGACTTCACTCTAAGGGAGGACCAGGATATAATACAAGTATTAAAATGTAAACGAAAATTTGCAATTTTGGTTCAAAAATGTACTGTGTCCATTTTTAGAGTCCCGATACTTCCCTTGCTTGTAAATTCCGTCGTGTAAATAATAATTTTTTGCAATTTAAGTACTTTCTCATAGGAAAGTACATTTTCCTACCGATAATTCACCACAAAAATGCCGTCAGACCCGCCAATGTCGAATTTTTAGATAAACAGTGTACTTTTCGGTGTAAAAATCCTTAAATTACAAAGATCAATTAGTTAGAGGACTTAATCAGCACGCAAGTAAAGTTACAAGATTAATAATGGGAACACTAAATGTTACAAGACTAAATTGCATATCTCTTAAATGTAAAATTTAAAATATAAAATTTAAAATATAGAGCATTAAAATTGCCTACTAAATCGATTCATAAATTTTTGGGAGGGGCCAAAATAATTTCTTATAGTAATATTTTAAAAAAAAAAGTTGGAGGAGTCATGGCCCCCTTATGTCACTATGTACCTCCACCCCTGGGGCCCAGGTCATCCCAATCATTCAATTTTCCTTATCATTCGCACTACCCACGAACTGTGTTTAAGGTTGTAGGGAATATTTGAAGCATTTAAAATTTTGTCTCAGCAAATTGGAATCGTGATGGAGTTAATTCTTGAAATTACCAACATTAGTACATTACTGGAAAAGCTGGTATTTTACTCTGGGACATATCACCTTTTTGTTGTGATAACAGTTTCGCATTTATAACATGGTACAACGCTCTACAAGCTGAGCTTGATCGTCTGTCGGATGCATTGTTGCATGTCTCTCCTGAGAGCGTTAACCCAGAGGACAAGTCAACATACAACCAGGGGCGGAGCCAGAAAAATGCGTGAGAGGGGTCAGAATTTAATTATATGCAGTATCAAAATGATGGATAGTTATTATACAATACTTGAGTTAAATGTTTCATATGTAGCTGAGATGAATGGTAGTTTAATGAACATTTTTCGGTTAATGTATTGATATATATGTAATGTATCATAATATTCACACAACTAATGACTAAGTAAGGTGTTTTATTTTTAAATTAAGAATATAACTAATGTTACACATCAAATTTTGCTTATTTCAAGTTAAGATGGTGCTGATTTTTCCAGAAGTCATAACTTTTTACTCATAATGAGTTACGAGACCCATAATATATCAAATCGAAGGTATTTCACAGCTCTACATTCTTGAACTTTCAGCGGGGTCGGCTGACCACCCTGACCCCCCCTTGGCTCCGCCCCTGCATACAACGACGGTGCCTAACACTAGTAATTTCTAGCTTGTACATTAGAACTGAAAGTGTGAAGTTGACTTTATGTTGTAATAATGTATGTGTACAGTAATGAATAATTTATTTGTATTTAATATATTCGAAACTGAAATGAAATATGTGCACCTTTTCAATTTGCCTTGCTATTTTTTTTTTTTCAAATTTTACAATACAGTTAACATCTTGAAACAAAACACGGTTCATAGGAGGGCTGTGGCCTTAAAAATATGGTGTGATCTGTTGACCAAATAACCAAAAAAATTGTAGCTAGCCTTTGTATTTCCAAAACGGCATTACTAAAGTAAAACTATTTTGTTCTCGTATAAAAAAAGTCATCCTCTAATGTACATTCGAACATATTACATGATTTTTTCATATCGCAAAGCATAAAAAGCAAGCGCATGATGAGAAGCCAATCTAAACTCTAAAATAAACATAACTCAATTCGTAATACTGAATGCCTTGCAAAAGGATCAAGGAAATATGTTTTCCTAAGCTATTACACTACAATAAAATTAGCAAAGAGGATCAAGTAAAAAATCATACTTGCATGATATTTCGGTAACCGGATAATTGTACTGAATTTGTGGTTAAGGGACTTGTAACTCATGTAGTAATATTGAAAAGCTAATAATAGAAACCTTCCTCAACCGAAGATTGGTTAACCGATCAGCTTGCCCCTAACATGTGGTCTAAGACGCCAAGTCCACAAACAAGGGTGTATTTAGGGCTGGGCACGGGCCGGGTCGGGGCGGGTAATGCAAAATAAAATGGAACCGCCGGTTCCATTGTACGGTCCGGTCCGGGTATTACAATTTTCAAAACAGGAACTGGAAATTACCCGGGCCGTTTGAAACGGGTCGGTCCGGTCCGGGTTTTACGGTTTCTATTCTCATGTATTGAAATTAGTAAAAACTCACGAAGTTCCAAAAATCAATAATCAATAATATAGGACATTAGCAAGTTTCAAAATAACAACATAGCGGTGCACATATAACACAAGCGAAAAGCCCAATACTCCATAATTTCTTGTATATAAGTTTCAAACAATTAAAGAAATTCCAAAAATATGCAACATAGCCAAAATACATATTTTCTAACATTTGCATTTAAACATGTTGTCTAACATAACATATTAAAGTGATTGCTTTTTTTTTATATTAAATTTCCAGTATTAGCCAAAGTTGACACATACATGGTGGGTGGTAAACACAATTTATATATTTTAATAACAATATAATAAAAAGAATATAACAAAATCATCTTTAACAAATAATTAAATTCCATAGAAAGGAATAATTCAATAACAATAAAAAGTAATAAGACATTTATGAAACATTTAATCAATAATTTGAAAACAAAAGGATGTTATTGCAACTCAATTTAAAATCCTACTTCTAGCAAAGGAAACAAAACTATTTCAAAACCGATTATCACAAAACTATTAATAAATTAATATACAATATATATAACGGGCCGGGCCGGGTACCCGTTATTTTTTAATTTTGGAACCGGTCCGGTTCCTTAAAAACAATTACCCGACCCTACCCGGACCGTTTTATGGAAACAAAAAATGGAAACGGCCTGTTATGGGGTAGGGAAGTTATGGGTGGGGGTGGGGTAAGGGGTATGGTCGGGGTGGGGTGGTAAGGTCTAGGGGTAGGGGGTTGGGTGGGGGTAGGGGGTGGGTTAGGGTCGTGGTTAGGGTTGGGTTGGGGTGAGGTAGGGTAGGGAGTTGGGACAGGATGGCGGTAGGGTGGGACCGGGACCAAGGTGGGGCCGAGGTAGGGAAGGGGTAGGGTGGGGGGTAGGATGGCGGTAAGGGTGGGGGTAATGGGTAGGGTTGGGGTAAGGTAGGGGTAGGGTAGGGAGTTGAGATAGGATGGCGGTAGGGTGGGCCCGGGATCTGGGTGGGGCCGAGGTAGGGGAAGGGCAGGGTGGGGGGTAGGATGGTGGTGGGGCCGAGGTAGGGGGCATGTGGTAAGAGGTAAGGTAGGGGTGAGAGTTAATATACGAGGGGTGGGGGTAGAGTAGGGTGGGTCGGGGTGGGGTCAAGGTGGTAGGGGGTGGCGGTAGGGTAGGGTGGATCGGGGTGGGGCCGAGGTAGGGGCATGTGGTAGGGGGTGAGATAGGGTCATTATAGGGAAAAATGGGTACACGGGGTGGGGTTAGGGTGGGTAGGGTAGGTAGGGGTAAGGGGTAAGGTACGAGAATGGAGGTACCAGAATGGAATCGACACCGGAGCGGGACCGGACCCACCACTAGGTGTAAGTATGCAAATTCATTGCAGCGGCATTGTAGCATATGCGTTTTCCAAATTTGAAAAACTAGTAAAAGTCACTTCTCCAAATCATTAAGGAAAAGTGAGATATGTTTCATTTTTTTCGTTTTAGAAAACGATTTGGTAAACGCGTTTTTCTTTTTTCCTTTCTCCAGTTTTGCAGCAATTTCTTTGGTAAACATGTTTCCTGTTTTCTGTTTTCCAATTTTCTGGAAAACTAGAAAATATATCTGTAAGTAAACAGGCCCTTAACGTTTTGAGTTTTGACAACTTAACGATTATATAAAAGCAATGTTACCCACCACTTTTCATGAAAAACAATGTATTTATTGCAATTTTGCAATTGGAATTGCGGAGTATAATTCAACTGTCAGTCAATATTAGAGATTTATACAATTTTTTATCAACTTTGTTACGATTTAATATGATTGAAATAATTTTTGAACAATTCCATTATGATTTTGTACACTTCATAGAATATTTGCAGGACTCGATCAAAACCTGTAACACATTATCGTAAACTGGGCCATCCAATCAATCTAACAACTCACATACCTACATTCCAGTTTTTGAAGGGAAAATTTACACATAACAGACCAGACAGGCTTGGGTGGGTATGGGCCGGAAAGACCAATCCTTCCCACCTACAAGTGTGGGCCATCAAATCAAAACAAAATGGCTAAGATGGGATTGGAGTCCAATCTCCCAACTCACGCACAAGTGCACAACCATTCAATCTCAATTAGAGTGACAAGCACCCAATCCCATCCCATGAACTATGGGTGGACTCAGTTCGGGCCGGGCCATGTTCGGGCCTTGAACCGGCCGGGCCTCAGTTCACCAAAAGGAGGGCCCGGACCCGAACCGGTGGCTCCCGGTTCTGGGCCAGTTCCGGGCCGGGCCACCCGGGTCATAATTTTTTTTTTTGCTTCTCTTATTTAACCCCTTATCCCTCCCCCTCAACCCCAAACCACCCCAAACCACCTCAAATGGCCCAAAATACCTAATCCAACCCAAAACTTAAAAAAAGTTCAAAAAATAAAAAGTAAAAAAATAATTCCGGCCCGGACCGGGCCCGAACCGGCCGGGCCGGTTCACCAAATGGAGGGCCCGGGCCCGGAAACGGTATCCAATGGGCCGGTTCGACCTGAACCGCCGTTGGATCGGGCCGCCGGGCCGGTTGCTACAGTGGGCAGGCCGGGCCAGGCCGCCCGGCCCGAGTCCACCCCTACCATGAACTCTATGCTTCAACCCAAGTAGTCGTATATTTCAAGGGAACCACAAATCAAATCTGAAGCAAGAACAAAAATACTCCATAATAGGAGTAAATCTTTTGGGGGACACAATATGTTTAAAGTTTAAGTTTTAGACGTGACAGGCATATCTGCTGTTAGGCCCGTCACAAGTGACACAGAGAGTCTAGTACCCAAAAACCACCACAGCCAAACATTCTCACGGCTCTACTACAATAATGCTCCTAAAACTCGAAGTTAGCCCTTCATTACGAGTGAAAAAAAGTGAACTTCGGAAGTTGTGGAGCATCTATTCCTCATTCTGACTTTCATCCTTGACCAGCCTTATCATGTCATCGATTCGAAGAATCGTAATAGCTGCTTCAGTGGCAAACTGGTATAAAACATTTATATAAACAAATCTTAGTACAAGTACCAACATGAAAAGGGTAAAATTTTGTATGTCATTTGCAGTGAGAAAAAAAAAATGCGAGCTTACTTGGATTATCTTCACTTTGCTCATAGCAGGCTCAATCACACCAGCTTCCAGGTTGTTACGTATTGTTCCCTTCACTAGGTCTAGCCCCATACTACAATAATGAAATATAAAACTATGTCAATACATTTAAATAAGACTCCGCAATACTTATTCGTATGAATTGCAAGTTCAATATTAAAATAGAAAGCACATTTAGCAAAGGGCAGACATGCCAAAACCTTTGTGTTCTCTTTTATCTATAGGTTGTGGCTTTAGGGAAAAAAAGATCACAAATGATGGTAACTTTAGAATATCAAGCTAGATACATGAAAGACTAATAAGGATATTCAAGCCATACTATAGTATTTTTACCCTGACTTGAGAAATGTTAATTACCGTCTCTAAAAAAAAGTTAAGACAAACACAGGTTATTAAATACAAAGCCAATAACAATCATACTTTTAGAGAAATTACAACTCTATTGCCTGCTCATTCCTTACTAGTGATGCAAAATATCTTCATAATCAGTAGAGAATTTAAATATTCCAGAATATATGAGCAAGCAGTCTGCTTCATTGATCACCCATTGAACTTTTTAAAAATTAATATATACTCCCTCCATCCCATAAAGTGATAAACTTGGCCAAAGTTGACTAACATGTGGAATAAGAAATTAAAACTGTATGGTTGAAGTTTGCATAGAAGAGAGAAATAACATGAACCACAAACTTGTTACCAAAAGAAAATGACAAAGTATTCTGGGAGGGCTAAATAAGGAAAGATGGCAACGATTAGTGGGATGGTAGCATATTTTTATGCCAAGTATATAAATGATTTCTACGGAGGAGTATAACACACTGAGAAAAATTCCAAACTATCAAGGTAAACAGTAAAGAGAAGATATACAGTACAGATTTCCATTATTACACAGAGATGAGAGACAACATTTTCTAAAAATGGGCTCATTAGCAAAGCAACAGGATTACCTTGACCAATGCTTCTTGTCAGCCAGAGTTTGTGCATCTCGGTGATGCGCACGTAACTTAGGCACCAAGTCAGTTGAATCCTTGGCAGCATTGATAGCAAGTACCTGAACCAGGTATATATATGTGGCCAATTAATTTGAGATAAAATACAAAATTTATCATAATTTTTTAGCTTTTACACTATTGGACCTTTGGAATGATCAATAAGGATTCAGAAAATTCAGCAATAGCCAACTGCTCCCGAGATCCAAGTGTAGTTGCAAGGTACTCAAGGTACACAGACAAGGCAGACTCAACAGCACCTCCGCCAGCAACCACCTGTTTAACAATTGTTGCCCACCATTCCACAAATCATTTGCACTTACATTTAAACCAACAAAAAATTGAATCTAAGGCTCCTTACTAATTCAAGAAATAATACAAGAAAATAAGTTAAAATTGTGCCTGCTCAGTAGCCAAAGATGGCTTATTCTTCAAGTTCAGCCATATTAGCCAAAGAATGCTTACCTAATGGGCTCAGAATTAGCTCAGAAACTAAGTACAATAATGACTTGTATGTCACATGGAGGGGAATAGAGGAGGAAGATTTTTAATTTAGAGGAAAGTGAATGCGAGGAATAAAGGAGTTCTAATTCTACCGTTTGGTTGATATGAAGGAAGGAAGAATAGAAGGGGGAAAGCGAATACTTGAGGTATGTAGGAAGATTTCTTTTTCATGGTTTAGGAATTCCAATTCTTGGGAAGATATTTCCCATGTTCTAAGCTTTGGCGTAGAGAATTAGAAACGAGAGAAAAATAATTTCATGTGTACCAAACGAGCCATAAGCATATTCTTTTCACAGGCATGGTTCATGGTAATTGATCCTTTAACATAAGATCAATATAAGTTCAAGTGTGAGATAAGATGATTACAGTTGATGATTCTAATGTTCTTTTAACAATGCATAAAGAGTCATGCAACGCCCTCTCCATCTCATCAAGCATGTAGTCATTTGCTCCTCTAAGTATCAAAGAAACCTGGCAAAGAGAAATTTAAGTTAATTGATACCACACATAGCAACTTTCATGATGACGATGTGGAAATTCAAAGATGTATCTAAATTGGGGTATCAAAAGACAGGTAAGATAACTACTACATACCGCACTTGTGTTTTTGGTCCCTTTGATCAAAATTACATCATCGTCTGCAATGCGCTCCTCAACAACCTCATCAGCTTGTCCAAGGAATGATGACTCAAATGTTTCTTCCCCTTCCATATCTGCGAAAGTTGAGACCTAGACCACAGAAAAGGATAATGTAACAAATTACAAACACCAAGACCAAACTGGTAAAGCCGATGATGGATCATCACATGACATGCCTTAATCTGTTATCTGTTACTACCCCAATTCATTCTCCCCACCCCCAAATCCAAATATTTGCAAATCTCATGTAACCCCATCTTAGAGTCTGAATAGGAATTAAAATAAAACCCGTCTCAGAATCTGAATATCTGAATAAGAAGAAGAATAAAAGAAAAATTAACAAACCCGTCTCAGAATCAGAATCTGAATACGGAGAATTAAGAAAAATTAATTGATAAATACGAATGGCTCCCTTGGAAGAGTCACACAATGTTAGATGAATGCATATTAAGAACTGGAGACGTTAGATGGCCTTAAAAAGGTAGCAAAAAGCAAATGCATAAATTAAAATATCCACAACATACCATAGTCGCACCAGTGGCCTTAGCAACATGACGCAGATCTTCTTTCCGAACACGTCTAACAGCAATTGCACCGGCTTCCACAAAATACTGAAAGAAAAGACACAAATTAGCACACGCACTAAAAGTGAAAAATGGTCATGCTACCAAACCAGTGTGAAAATGGGACATGAATACAGCAACTAAGATTTCTTTCAAGAAGATAAGGTCAAGATTGTAAAGTACTTTTACACATTGGTACTGTAAACTTGCAGACGTCACCTACTAAACATAATTACGACTATGGTGATGATGGTGATGATGATGATGAGGTGAAACTGGAAGTGGAAATTTATGGTTTTGTGAATCTTTTTAATTTATTAAGTGATGAAAGGCAGAAGTGAAGATGTATAAACAATATTCATGCAATCATGCCAGAAAACAACTGAAGCAAAAGAAGAATGAAACTTCTTGCCTTTAATGACATGTCATCAATTCCCTTTGAGGTCAATATTACATTGGCTCCGGCCTTAAGAAGCTTCTCAATGCGTTCTTTTGTCATATCAGCTTCTCTGTGACAGCAGAATTTAATTACTGACAGAAGGTACAACACAAAGCAAGATTACTTACAAATATATTGCTACATATTAAATACAGGCACAAATCATGCAGCTAAGCAATATTGTAACTCTATACTTTCATGCCCCGCATCTCTTCATTGATATGTGCATTGTACTTCGGTTTACATGTGAAGAACATGATAAGCACACACAGAGTTCAAGTGGCATTTCACAATCAAAGATAGCAGCATATTTTCTGGAATAATGGAGAACCTGAGCATACCTTCATCCAGATCTGGACGTTCCAAGTTTATCCAGATCTAGAAAAGCATATTTGTCATCCATTGCAGTGCTTGTAGGAAATAAGAAAAAAGGAACAGGAAGCAGAAAAGAGGGTGAAGACTGGGAGAATTGATGTAACATTGTAACCAGATCCTCATTTCTTGAGAATATGCCTAAAATAATTAAAAAAGTAAACACATCCTTAAATGATTTCTAGATTTCTATTCAATATGAAGTATGAACTGTTAATAACTTCTAAAAAATCATTGGTTTTGGCTTCATGGAAATTGTTATCTTCATCTCATTATTCTAATATATGCTGACTGAGCACCCTATTAGTCAGAATTCAATATACATGAATAAATTCAAACAAAGGAACAGTTTATTTATGAACCTAAAACAGGAGAGGAGGATTATGAATATTGAGTGGTCATAATGTGCCCCTAACTTCAAACAGATTCTTTAGGACCATCAAAGCGCCATACTTATTACATGGATAATAATATTTGGCTATTAAAAAAGATCTGAGAAGGAAGATGAGTCTGTTGACGATGCAACTGTTGTTGGAGTAAATAGATAAGGCAGCAGCAAACGAACTTCATTGGTTCAGATTATTTCAGAGAAGTGCAAGTATCAGTAGAGAGAGTGGATTAACCAAATGCTGGAGACATTAACATGAGTTGTAAATTTGTAATATACTGAAATTGAGAGTGGGTAAAGCAGTTGTCGGAGATCAATAAATAGGCAACAGAAACAAATTAATTTGGTTCAGATAATTTGATATATAGATGCAAGTTTCCTAAAACAGTTGAACAGATAGAGGACTAATGGACTAATGAGTTTTGATACACTGAAAATGAAATAATTAAGTGTAAGACAAGAGATATGGTGGTAGGTATAAATGATCCCATGGTGCAACTGTGCAAGACAGAAATATGGGTATAATAAAGTCATTGGTGGATCACTTTGGAAATTATATACTGGTTGATGTAGCAAGCCCATTAGATTTGGAAATAAACTTATATTTTCCTTGAAAATTCAAAACCAACCACCCCAAGTATTCACTACAAATATCACGGCATATATTACAAAAGAGAAGTAATTACAGTCTAACTTCAAACACCTAGTGAATGAATCATCACATTACCGTTGACGAATCTTTTCAAGCTCCCTGGGATCCGTAACTAACACTTGAACACCCAACTGCATTTTTGTCTTTTGAAGATTAAAGTCAAGGCAAGCTATCTTTGCGGGAGAAACACGCAGTGGCATCCCTTGAGCTGCCCTTCCAGTATTTAATGCATATCCTTTCAAAAGATAGCTATCTCTTGCACTTTTTCCATGAGCTTTCAGTATATTAATTCCCTGTGAAAACCAAGTTCTTAAAATGATAGCTTAAAAGATGGCCATCAAAAGATTTGTAGGGAGATTTCAAAACTCATGAACCAACAACATTATAGAACGACAAAAAGGTGTTTTAGTAACCTCTAAGGGCCATAGACGCAGTCTACATATAGAACTAACCTTGATTGGATATTTAATTTCACCACGAGCATTTGTCATCTTAATTGATTGTACTGCTTCAACAACCTAAGATAAGAACATATTGGGTGATTCCGGGCACATCAGTTTTTTTAAAATGTAGCACCCCCAAATCATCTAATTGATGAAACTGTACCAGACTTTGACCATCACAATATACATACCAATAAACCAAGAAAACATCAAAAAGGAAAAATTAGGAAAGCATAATGGTGGTAAATGAAACAAAGCATATGGAGACCACATTAGTGTTAATTTCCTTGGAAGGAAAAGTGAGAAATAGAGGCTGCACAGAAGGTCACATCAGATTATATATTTTTAATTCAATACAAGATTATGCAATGAAAAAATGGACCATCATACCAGGTTAGCAAAGAAGTCACTATCACCAGCAATCAACTTTGATGACATGCTTGTCTTGGCACAATTTAGGAGGGAGTCCTTTCCAAGCTTTTCAACCTAAAAAGATTTAAAAAAAAATGTTAGAAGATTTAAGTGACAAATAATATTTCATGAGCTGTAAAATATGATAAATGAGAACTGGTCGCATAAGAGAAAGTAAAATGCAGCAAATAAAGCTTTAAATTAACAAGTAGTGTAAGATTGCTGCCCAAAACAACTTCTAAAGTTGGCTGATAAATAGACATTGTATATTTGTATTTACTCAATAACAAATCATAAAAAGGATCCCCTTTTAAAATTTAATGATGTAAAGCCAACAGGATATGCGAGCTTTTACGATACTTTCATTGATAATTTCCTGATTTAGGAATTAGATTCTGAGGAGTAAGAACTATGTATACACAAGTACATTCCAAAATAATGAGAAATGGTTAAGCATAATGAGAGAAGGGCATTACCTTCACAGCCAATTTTTCTTCAACATATTTGCAAGCTTCTCTCATTGCAAGCTGGCAATTAGATAAACAATTGAAACTGTGAGAATCAGAAGTTTAACAATGCAATGGGGCATCAATGTTTGATATGTTGAATTTGTAAGAGAAAATTAACACAAGAACAGGTTGATACGCACTCTGTAGCCACTGATTATTGATGTGGGGTGAACTTTGTTCCTCACCAGGTCATTTGCTCTCTGTAAACAAATATTAGATGCTCAAATAAATATATAGTTACATATGCAAAGTCAAATATCTTACTCAACCATCATTCGCTTTAAAGGAGTACCTTAAGCAACTCTGCAGCTATTATGACTACAGACGTAGTTCCATCACCAACTTCCCGGTCTTGAAGCTCTGCTAACTCAACTAGAACCTACATTTTTCATACAATGCTATTTTCAAAGACAATTTTTATGTAATGCTTGTCTTATGGATATAGGAATGTCATTCCATAATGAGACCTTAGCTGAAGGATGCTCGACTTCTAACATCTTCAGAATTGTAGCACCGTCATTACTGATAATTACATCACCAATATCATCAACAAGCATCTGGTATGTGAAATAATAGTCAAAGAGTCAGCTTTCTGAGATGCACTATAAAAGAAGCCTAGTTTTACCACGTAGGAAAGGATTTGATTAAAGTGAACTTCACAACGAAATGACATTGACAAACATGGAGTTAAATGGCATACTTTGCATTCTGGGAACAACTATCGCTCCTTAAAGCTACTAAACTCTATCAGTCTATCTTAATTGGATTTTAATATAAATTGATTGGTACTCATGCAACTATTAACAAAACCCAGATAAAAACAGATTCCTTGCGCAAAAGAAATATAAATGCTCATAGATTTAATAATGGGGGAAGGAAGCAAACCTTATCGAGCCCAAGGGGACCAAGTGATGACTTAACGATGTTTGCTATTGCTTGGCACGCCATAACTATCAACCCCAAAAGAAAATAAATAAACCGAAATCAGAAACATAGGGATGAAAGCTCCAACTCATGGTACATAAATACAGATGTTTTTCAATTACCATTTTGGGTTCGGACATCCTGACCGTACTGGCGTTCGCCGGAAATATCAATTGACATTTCTATAAATGTCAGTAGCGATAGTTGGCTGAGACAGACTTAGAAGATGGAATAGCCCGTGGATCGGTCTAGGGGGAGAATGAGCGGCGTGTGTATGCAGGAAGTTCCGTAGAGGAACTGAGGTTTTTCAAGCGATGGGGTTTTGATTCGGACTTTTGATAAAATAAGGGATGGGGCAACTGGACGGATGGGGGACGCTACACATAAAATCGAAACCGTCCAATTGGATTAGGGAAAGTTCCCGAAATAGGACTAAAACAATTTGAAAATTCCAAAATAGGACTGCCATGTTTTTTATTCCCAAAATAGGAGTAATTACTGCTAAGTTTGGAAAATACTGCCATGTTTGAAGTCTGGTACTGCCAAAACATGGCAGTAATTAGTCCTATTTTGGGAATAAAAACATGTCAGTCCTATTTTGGAATTTTGAAACCTTTTTACTCCTATTTCGGGTAACCGCCCTATTACCTGTTCGGGTGATTTTCATTTGAACCGTACCCGCTCCAACGGGGAATCAGTTTATCCACGGGTCACCGTTTCCCCAAATGATACCGAATAATCATTTTTTAAAACAAATAACCAATTTCTAATCCTACTTGTTATTTATATATATTCAAAACACCCTAAAACATACAAAGGTAAATATTTAAGCAATCAAGCAGACTGGCCTAAATCATTAGTATGACATGCACCAAATATCTCTTGTAACATAATAAAAAAGTAGTAATCATCCTAGAATCCAAATTCCAAAAACAAGTTTAGGCATATATTTAGTTTTAGGCCTAAAAAAGTAGTATACTTTTTAGCATTATTTATTTGATATATATTGTACTAGTACTATTTAGTATACACAATTTAACATATATACTTATTATTCTTATATATAAAAAGTAATAATTCATTAATAATGTTACAGATCGGGTAACGGTGCGGGTACCCGCACCATTAGTGAACGGGGCGGTTTTGGGGCGGATAACGGGGCGAATTAGTATAGAACCATAACCGAACCATTAACCATTTAAAACATTCGGGTATTCCCCACCCCGTACCCATTCCCCAGTCAAACTGGTTTTCCCCAGTTTGACCAAATCGGTTCGGTGCGGGTATCCAACGGGTCGGCCAAAATTGCCATCTCTACATTGAATACACCTAAACTTTTAAAATCTAATAATGGACTTACCTTGTTTTAAAGTGTTACAAAATGAAGTGCAGTAACTAGTAAAGTACATGGGAAATTGGGAATGGCAAAAAAAAACCGCTGGATTCGCCACGCCCTCTTTTAAGCGGGGTTTGCCCCGTGACTAAAACGGGCTGGGTATTCCCCGCCTAGGTTTGTCAATAGGTCGGGTCTAGACCCGAACTCGATCCGAATCTGATACTTTATTTGAGGGCATGAGTCTAAATTTAGAATCATTTCCCAGATCCTGATCCAAACCCATTACATGATAGAGAAAATGGGTCGGATATGGATTTTAAGTTCCGGCCCGTTTTGGACCAAAAAGTTTTCAACGAATATGGATATGGAATCTATAGTTCCGGCCCTTATTTGACCCGTTGACAGGCCTATCCCCGCCCCGTGCTTTGTTCAGGTCGGGTCTAGGTATTAGTTATGCCCGCCCGCCCCGACCCGCTCCGATCCGGTCCGCCGCTCATCTGTTAAGTAAACCCAAGGCAGTGGTAGAGGGGGCCAGTCGGGCTATATATATGTGTTAAACTGATCTATAAAAAAATCTTTATATTGGTCCACCCCTAGCTTCGGTCCTGGCTACGCCCTTGAGCAAACTCTTTATATTTCTCATAATATAGAAACCCAATGCATAATATTCCAGATAGAAGATAAATGGTGCCACATGCAATTTATACAAAAAAAAAAAATCAAAAACCATAACCCTCTATAAAAAATGACAATATGACACCAATGTCACGTTGCATATATAATTTTTGTAAAACTCTCAATATTTGATTACAAGACTTTGCAGCCTCATTTTTTAAAATAGATCCAAGTGACAAAATTAAAACATTATAATTTTTTTTCATCTTCCCGTTATTAGTTCTAAAATAGATAAGAAGCAACAACAACAAACTAAACTCCAAGCTTATTATTTTACTAGTTTAGCAACGCGCGATGCGCGTTCGTGTAAATGCCCAGAGACATTGTAGGCATATATTACTTCATCAGGTTAGGGTGAGTGAATGCATGAGTAGTTTGATTAAATTATTTGTATACAAAATTTGTTAGAAATGGATAAACAAACTATACGTAGAAAATGTTTCTAGCTTGGATTGTATGGAAAAAGTAAAGCAAAAATAACTATAATAACCATAATAGTGGGATAAGATTCATATCAAATAGTAAAAAAAATATTGTTAGAACAAATAGTCAAATATTTATTGGATTGTAGTGCTTGGTGAAAAGTAAGGGTTTGACGCAAGCAACTTAGCTTTATTAATAAAAGTAGTAAAAGTCAAAGTAATCACGTTGTTTTCTTGCAGTGCAAATGAACATGTGAATCCTCTAATCCTGAGTGTGGGGGCTTCATCTTTGATGAAGGCTATGTGGGATTCATTTGCACTGCAAGAAAACAACGTGATTACTTTGACTTTTACTACTTTTATTAATAAAGCTAAGTTGCTTGCGTCAAACCCTTACTTTTCACCAAGCACTACAATCCAATAAATATTTGACTATTTGTCCTAACAATAAAATTTTGTTTTTTTTTATATTTGATATGAATCTTATCCCATTATTATAGTTATTATAGTTATTTTTGCTTTACTTTTTCCATACAATCCAAGCTAGAAACATTTTCTTTAGTTTGTTTATCCATTTCTAACAAATTTTGTATACAAATAATTTAATCAAACTACTCATGCATTCACTCACCCTAACTTGATGAAGTAATATATGCCTACAATGTCTCTGGGCATTTACACGAATGCGCATCGCGCGTTGCTAAACTAGTAAAATAATAAGCTTGGAGTTTAGTTTGTTGTTGTTGCTTCTTATCTATTTTAGAACTAATAACGGGAAGATGAAAAAAAATTATAATGTTTTAATTTTGTCACTTGGGTCTATTTTAAAAAATGAGGCTACAAAGTCTTGTAATCAAATATTGAGAGTTTTAAAAAAATTATATATGCAACGTGACATTGGTGTCATATTGTCAATTTTTTTTATAGAGGGTTATGGTTTTTGATATTTTTTTTGTATAAATTGGAACAAAAAAAAAAGTACAACCCTTTAAAGAAAAAGGAGAATTTTTAACCTGGGTCACACGAATCACCTCTATTTGTGTTGTAGAGACGGATGCCTTCCTTTGCCCACGAATTCCATTTGAATGAAAGTCGTGATTCCATTTGGCGGCTTTTTAAATGGTTCCACCAAGTGGTATTTTGATAAATACTTTAATCCGATCTTAATTTCGTAAATAGTTTTTCCTTAGTGTTATTTTTGAAAAAACTCCTTTATATTAACTTTTCAAGAACTATTTTAAAATATTTAAATTTAGTATGGAATATTAGATAATCTTGTTAAAGAAGATCATACTTTCCTAATTTACAACTATAAAGTTTAAAATTAGGCATATCACCGAGATGAGTAAATCTCGGTGATATTTGAGTAAATCAATATGATCTTACTTTGATAGAGAAGAGTAAAATTCTCTGAGACATGCAAGGTGCTTGTGTATATGCATAAATGAAATTCTTTAAATAAATATTCTTGTACTTCAAATGTTATACAATACGGAATATAAGATTGAGAGAAATTGTTCTAAATATGAGTAAACAATTTCGAGAATTCTAAAATAAGACTACTATGTTTTTCTTCTCGAAATATGAGTCATTATTATCATGATTGAAAAATATTGTCATTGATTACCATAAATGTTGTCATGTTGAATGCATAATACTACAATTATTTGACAGTCATTACTAAAAGATGACAGTAAATATTGTCATCTTACTCCTATTTTGGAAAGAAAAACATATAAATCCTATTTTGGAATTCCAAAATATATTTAGTTCTATTTGAGGAAATCTCTCTAAGATTAAAGAAAACATAATTATGCAACAAGCAAAATGATAGATGAATTATGACAAAAAAAACTACTTTATTCAAGATTGAGAATAAGTAACAATAGAATTCTAGAATCTTAAGAAAGAATAGAATTCGAAACTAAGAAAAAAAGCATGTTCACCGGGTGTTTCTTCAAATGTGTTTCCATTCTAAATGAATATCGGAAAGGGGTTAAGCATATAGATACATGATTAGATAAGCATATTGCAAAGTTCATTTTTCCTTCACACACAGAGTTTCAAAAGTGTAGAAACAAAGGAGTGTCAGGTTATTCATTCTTTACATTCACTCCTTCAAAATCTTCCCTATCAAACACCATAAACTGGCATTAAATATTATTTGTACTTCACTTTTTAGCAGGTTGGACAATAGTTTGTACTAATTGCCTTATAAAATTTCACTAGGTTTTGTCGAGAACTCAACTTTATTATCATTTATATGTGTTCAAAAATATTGCACTGGGTTATGTGTTCTTAATGGTCTGTTTGGATAAAGTGAACTTAAGTAAATCTAGTGCAATGAAGTAAACATAAGTTTTAATAAAAACTAGATCAACTTAAGTGAACATATGTTCATGTGTAAATTAAAATAGTGTTTGGAAATAAATAAGGTGAACCTAAGTAAATGTAATAAATGTTGTTTGAATGAAGGTACTTTAGCTTATTGTATGTTAAACGAGAACTTAACCTCCAAAACCCTCACTTCAGAGGTTATTCAATTTGTAGTGTTTCTAAATTTTCGGAAGTTTTGAGGTTAAGTCATAACCTAGGTTCTTGTTGCATAAACACAAACAAGCGAGGTCAACTAAAAATTGAACATGTGATTTTATCTATTTTCTTATAACTTTTTCTTTATTTTATTAATAAAATTATTATAAATATAGTTTTTCCATAATTCAACATATCCAGTAATTTTAACCGTTTTGCCAGAACATCATAAATTTCAACATTTTCAACCAATTTTAGTGTTATCAACCAGACCATGAATGTTACTAAACAAGCTCAAAGTGGAGTTCCATTAATAAACTTTGTGTTTCTTTTAATTAATCCTATTTAGAGTGTTTTCAATCTCTTCAATTCAAAACATTCTAAGTAAAAGAAACTAATGGTTAATTTGTGTTTTATTGTTGTTGCAGCAT